AAAATATATAACATTAAAAAGAAAGAAATATTTTTTTTTTCGCATATTCATCACAAAAAAACATATTTTTGTTAAAAAAATATATAACATTTAAAAGAAATAAATATTTTTTTTCTCATAGTCATCACAAAAAAACATATTTTTATAAAAAGATATATAACATTAAAAACAATACAACAAGCTCACCAAAAATATATAACATTAAAAATAATGAAATATTTTTTTCTCATATTCATCACAAAAAAACATGTTTTTGTAAAAAAAAAAAAAAACATTCAAAACAATCCAACAAGCTCACAAAAAATATATAACATCAAAAAGAAAGAAATTTTTTTCTCATATTCATCGCAAAAAACATATTTTTATAAAAAATATATAACATTTAAAACAATCTAACAAGCTCACCAAAAATATATAACATTAAAAAGAAAGAAATTTTTTTCTCATATTTATCACAAAAAACATATATTTTTTTTTTAAAAATATATAACATTGAAAACAATCAAACAAGCTCACTAAAAATGTATAAAATTAAAAAGAAAGAACATATTCATCACAAACAACCTATTGTTATAAAAAAAAACGTAAATTTATTAAGAAATAATGTTTTTTTAAGAACCCTAAAATTGACCCAAAGAACACAAACTTTAGAGTCAAAATCAACCCCTAATCTTTCATTTTTTGAACAAATTGACATGGGGATATGACAGATACTTCAATTATAATTAAAATGCCCCAAATATCATGAAGATCAATTCACTATTGAGATCGTTCTTAAAAAAATGGTAGATATTTCACTTCCAACAATTTTCAAAACAAAATGCAAAAAAAAAAAGGTTCATATAAATAAATATACTCAATGATAAATCAACATACTTGATGTATTCTATTGATGAAGCCTTGATGATCAAATTTAACTGATCAATTCAATAAAAAACGATGAATACATCGATCAAAAATCAATTTTTTTTTTATCGAACACAGTTCTTCGAGTTGCAGCATTTTCGGCGAAAATCAACCTCTATAATTCATCTTTTTCGACAAATCGAAATAGAAAAAGTTTAAGGCTTCAGTAATGAATCAAAGCCCTCTCCATGCATATTCATGGGTTATTGAACTCAGATTGATAAAATGGTGGAAATTTCACAGTTTTAGAAATTTGCCATTTCAATCCACCAAAAAATCGTTCTTTTTCGATTTTTTATTCAATAAACAATTATTTAAAGAAAATTTCAGGTGCATAAGTGTAATAATTCACTGAAAAAAACAAAAAAAAGGCTAGAAAATCAAATAAAAAAAAGTTGCAAAAAGTGAATCACAGATTCTGTTTAAAATAGCGGCCTTTGTGTCACATAACGGCAGTTATTTAATATACTACCGTTATGAACGTTATACGGCCTGTTATATCTGTAAACTGGACCGGTTAGTAAAAATTGATCGGTTTTTATGCTAAATTTTTTTTGGAGGTCCCCGACATTTTACTAATACCACAAAACCGGCCTTAACTGGAGTCGATATTTTGCCGGTACCGATCTAATTCGTCGGTTACGATTCGGAACGGCCGGTTATACAAACACTTGTACTAACCGAAGAGTTGTACTGCTAATGTTAGAAAACTGATTATCCGTAATGTGAGTTGTACTGCTAATGTTAGAAAACTTCTTTCCGTAATGTGAGTTGGACGACACTCTCTTAATTGCCCCAAATTCCCTCTTCCCCTTTAATAATCCAAAAGTAATTTTTAAAGGGGTTTTTTGGTACAAGATAGTCACAATCAATTTTGACCATTAGATGTAAAATTGTGTGGCTGCATTTATTTCATGAAGTAAGCTCAAACTTCAAAAGTAATTTTTTCGAACTTTGTGATATACCTAAACTATCAAATTTCACATCGGATAGTTGTAACTAATTGTGACCACCTTGTACCAAAAATAAATGACTTCATTGTATACCATCCCTTTCTGAAACTAATATGATAATCGGAACTACTATAGTGAAAATCCATATTTATCAAGAATAAGAAATGTGGACTTCCACTCCACTAGAAGATTAAATTGCCAAGAATTGGGCTTGGGTCAAGAATGTACCAGCTGTTCATAGCACTACGTATCAAAGTTTCATTCTTTTGTAACCTTGTAAACAACAAAAAAAAAAAAAGATTAAGTTGCCAAAAAAAAATGGGAAATACGAATTTCCCACTGTTTGGATTATATTGTCATTTAGAAAATGTGATAAAATTTAAATGTTTTACATTTTTTCCTAGATCAAATTGAGATAAAATTTAGAGAGTATGTGCATCTCATGGAATGGTTTTCATAAAAAATATAAAAAATAATTTATAGAAAATAAAACAACCAAACTACCCCTCAAAATTTCACGGGTAAAATGGTAATTTTTTTAAAAAAATATTTTTTATGGAAAATTTTAATGTGTAAATTTATATATATGTATATATGAAAAAGCTGGGATTAGCTCACTAGCTCATATGAACATATGGGCCCAACGACCCAAATTGAATATAGACCGATCTAACGATCACGGATGTCCGGTAGTGTTTAAATTTTATTTATTTTTATACAAATCTAAATCATTTGAAATTTAGACGTGTGTTTATTAAAAATAGGTGAATCTTTAAATAATATTAAAAAATTATTTTACATGAAATAAATTGACCAAAATACCCCCAAAAATATTCGAAGGGTATTTTGGTTATTTTATTTTTAACGAATAATTGTTTTTATATTTTTATTAGGTGCGCCTTGATGAGAAGAACATATACCTAAAATTTCAAGTGGTTTAGATTTGTAAAAAAAATAAAATAAATTCAAACACTACCGAACATCCGTGATCGTCAGATCGACCGGAATTCAATCTGGACCGTTGAGCTCATATTTTCATATGAGCTAGTAGACTAATCCCAACGTTTCTATATATATAT